AGTCATCAGAACTCCTGAGTTGTGTGGAGAAGATGTTTATCTCACTCAAAATTCATCTAATAATAGAACTAAAATAGTCAAGTGCTAGCTTTATCCAGTTTTGTCCTTTCTGAGCACAGTGTTAGGCAGAGTCCGCTGTGAAAATATAGAGGTCGTTATAGAAAATAACACTTATTTTACAATGCTCTGTTTTTAGTCAAAGTTTGTGCTAATTTGTAGGACATTATACTTTTATTATTTTAATACAAGGACTGAATCATTACATGATGTATTCGATTATAACTCCTTGCTGAATTATTACCTACATGAAAAAAATCTTGGATCCTTGTCTTATGGTGCAATGTTTTACTTAGCAGAGCTGCTGATGGAGAAAGCAGCGGTTATGATAAAAGGGATTATATAAAAGAGTTCCTGCTGAGAGTCCATGGCACTGTACAGGGTGATACCAAACATTGTGTTCCCCAGGGCAGGTAAAATAATTAGCTGCAGGACTGCCACTCAGTCTGAGGGATTAATTAGAATTGGAGGTGGTGTTGGGGAGGAGGGAAAGCAGCCATTAAGGGTGTCAAGACCACTCTGGCCTGAAGCCTGTGTGATTTGATGTGAAATAGCAGCAGCTGGCTGTAACCTTAGGAAGTGCAAGTGAACAGCAGGTGGTAATTCCTGTCTCATTTACCATGTCTTCACAGGAACATGTAAGCTTGTGCAGCTTGGGTTTATTGGCAGGTCAGAAGGAAAATCCTGAGGAGGACTGTGACATTTACTGTGCTGAGCAAATGCAAAATTCAAAATGGAGTGTAGACAGTGTTACTGTAAACCTTTAAAATGATGTTTGCTCTTATACCTGTCATACAGAAGGGCTATGACAACCTTATAGGCTAGACTTTGCTGTAGGCCAACACACAAAGTTGAACATAGCGTGAAAAATCTGGGACTCTTATTGGGAGTGACATCTCTAAAGATTGTGATGGATGTTACAGGAGAATGCTTTCACCAAAGTCGGAAGTCGGGCAATTCTGTGAGGGTCTCTCATTCTTCAGTGTTTTCAGTGGCCACTGCATGGGAATGAACAGTCTTTATCTGCATTTCCAGGTGGGCAAGCAGTGTACTGCATTATATGGTCACGGGCCTGTTAGTTTTTGCCAAGCATCGTGTTTTGCTTGGCATTTGGGCAAAAATTGCAGGACACGCAACAAATGTGTTAATGTAGAAATGATTACCAGTTAGTGGTTCAGAGTGAGCTTGAGCTGTTGTCAGCAGAATTTAGTGGTCCAGTGGTCTGTACTGATCGCTGTAGTCTTTTGTGCTCTGTGAGGGCCTCCTAGGGTGTAGAACAAGAACTGTTCATATTCGCAGTTCAAGAATGAAACCAAATAAAGAGAAAACTGAATAACACAGAATCTGTCATTGAGAACAACTTTAGATAGGAAAAATATATATACATATATCTAGGGGATGTTTGAGGGGGTATTTATAGCAGAGTGACAGGAAAGGAAGAGAACTCATTTTGTAGGAAGGGTAGATCATTTTATGCCTTTTTTCATGCTTATTGTTTGCCAACATAAGCTTTCATGGATGCCAGAAGATGCAATGCCTTCTGAAACCTCTCACGCATGCATAAACCATGTACTCATAATTTCTCTGCTGGGTTCCATTCAGTATTCTTCTATTTCTGATCTTTCCAGAAATTATTATTACGTACGATAATATGATCTAGGTCCAAGCTGACATTTTTCTGGCCATTAGCTCTGAGATTATCAGTTTTGGGAAATGGAAAGAAGTTTTTTTCAACTTTGGAAAATGCTGGAAGATGTTGTTGCTGAAGGAGATCGTTTCTCTTTCTCATAGTTTGTTTATGTTGACAAACCTACAGTACTGGTATACTCTTGAACTTGTCTTTGTGGTATTGGGAGGCATTGAAAACACAGATTGGGAAGTGTTCCACATAAATGTTTGTTTGTGGAGCTACACAAAACTTTCAAAACTTTTTCACTTATTAAATAAATAAATAAAAAAAGCAAAACAACATTTGCAGAGAATCTCCTGAATTAATTCTCAGGGTTTTTTTCTGTATTTGTCGTGAAATGAATCAAACATAATATAAGTTTTGAGTTTCCCCCTTTAAAAAAAAGTCAAATTCTAAATATGCCTCAATACAGTTCTATAAAAACTATTATGCAACAATGAGTAAAAATGAAGTGCTTAAAAGATTTTCTGGTTTTCCCTTTTACAATTAAAAAAGAAAAAAAAGCACCTAAAATTTATTGTTTTCTGCTCCAATTTTAGATCTGTAGGTTTCTTGTTTGTACCCATTTCCATTACAGGGGTATTGTAGCTTTAGCTTGAAGAGGAATGAACTATGTACACAGCAGGACTAATGAGTCACAGATGTAAAGATTCTGGCACAGTACCATTTAATAACTTCTTTAACTTATATTCTATAACAAGATAAATGCAAATTTGATACATCTGTTTTCTAAATGGTGTATCATTTCAGCCTTAGCAATGTCTCAGGAATGAGCTTCTTTAAATGTATGGTGGTTTAGCCTTTTTTGGCTTTGTTTTCTTTTTATTTATTTCTAAAGAGGAGATCTCAGGTCATCAAGCAATGCAGTTAGCCACAGCCAGGTTCATCAGAACAAAGTGGGAAAGCTGGTAAAACTGCCTCTGACTGGATGGGATTCACTTGCGGTCTCAGTTTCCTCTTGTTTCACCAATGTGTATCAAGAAAAAAGTTGCACTAGCAAAGGACATGTTGTGTGCATCAGAATGTAACTCTGCCTTCTTAGGGGAGCTGGGGAGGAAGACCATTGTGGTCTTTGTGATCCAGAACATCTCTGATACGATTGCAGGTAGAGATGCACAGAACAATTACTTGTAATGATGAAAGATGGTTGTAGCTGTCAGGCCACTGTTCCCTGTTGGTGCTTTCCACGAGTCTGGCTGGACTGCAAAGCATGCTGCCCCTTGGCCACAGGGGTTGCCCCATCAGAGCCTTGACGTAGGACTTAAGAAAGCCACTTTGTCTGGCAGCCAGAGCTATGTGCAGCTTTCCCTTCTGCAGGTGCAACTCTGCAGCCACCTACATTGAGGCCTCACAGCAGGGCTGTGCCATGGAAGTGACACTTGTGTCCATGCACATAGGGATCTTAGGCATACCAGACTGTTTTACCTATATGCCTCAGCCTGATGTCTTAGCTGTTTCCTGGATCTCCATGGACAAACCTTTGAGGATCTCTGCCTCAAATAGGCTGCTGTTTCTAGAGGACTTAGGGATTTCATTCTTTAGGACTATCCTGCTTAACACTACAAGGTTTCAGCTTAATGAGGAAGTCTAATTTGCACCCTAGAAGGCAGCGCAAGAAGAGTGCTGAAGTGAGAGCAAAGCTCTCTCAGCAGGCTCTAATTACCACATCTTCCTTTTTTGTATCAAGTTCTGCACGTGTGGGTAGAGTAGAATATGAGAGATCACATGCAGCATACAGCACTCAATGGGCAAATATTACCCTGGTTATGAAAATGCCTTTATGTATATGTTGAAAATGTTGACCTTGGCCATTGTGGATTCCCCCAGATCTATCAGTAGATTGTTGTTCAGTGTTTATAATTGTGTATGTGTGATCAGTTTATGTGCTGAATGTCGTATGTAAAACAGAACGTGAGGAGCAGGATGGTAATTACACAAAGTGCCTCAAAATTCCCTGTCACTGCTGTCAAGTTCTGCAGCAACCCAGAATCAAAGCTTTCTGCAGAGCTGTCTTGAAGGGCTGTAGCACGTTGTAATGGAGAAACTGTGCAGTCAGCTGGCTGATAGCCTAACAACTGTCAAACAATCCTAACAATTTATTTTAATTTTAAGGAGTCACCTCTGTGCAACTGCTCCTTCTAATAATCTGTTTATATTGTTGTAAACAACATCCACACACCTATAGTGCAAACTTAATTCTGTTTCCCATATGACAGAGAGGCTGTTTCCTGTCAGTAGGCGATGTGGGGTATACTAAAGATAGTGTTTGTTCTGTTTGTCTGTCAGTAAATTGTCTCTGTGATGTTTGTGTTGTGTTGTTTTGGTACCATGTTGTGCTGTGTCCCTAGGGTCTGCCAGGCTTCCCCACAGTCGCTGCTCTGCACAGTAATCAGATCCTCACCGTCAAGGTTTGTGGTTGACATGTATCTGTTCAGTCAGGTCTCTCTGGATCAGCATAAAAGTGCACATGAAAAAAATTACTCTTACTACAAGATAGCCATGAATCCTTATGGTGGACCTAAGTCAACTCCCTTTGCCTTTGTATTGGTGTATGCATTTCTGATGCAAAGCGTGGGATCAAATCCATGACTGCATACAGCGCTACCCCTGGCAGCACCCATGTTCCGTGTGCTCTTCTTGGTCGGTATTTTATTTTTCAGATGAGAATTGCTGTAGTTCTGCTATCCTGAGGCATACAGGAGGATTGAAAATGTCAGTGAACTCTGTAGTGGTTGAATCAAGAAACAGTTATATGTGTTAGATATCTGAAGTTTAATCTGTATGTGCTGATTTTTCAAAATGCGTTTGCAAATTAAGCAGGAAGAATTGAGCAATCTGGTCAAGCTGGAACTCCAATCCTTATTAAAATGACACCATTGTTCATGGCACAATATGCTGGTTAGAAAATCTGACTGAAAGTTGAACTGGTGCTTTGTGTCTAGAAACTTTGCTGAGAGAACAGAATGCAAAAATACTGAATTTTTTCAGAGCCTGGATAATGGAAAAAAAATAAAGTGAAGAATTCTCCTGTGAAATCTGAGGAGAAAGGACTTAGACAATTAACTCGCTGTATATGATGAGTTCACAGAGCGCTAAAAGCACAGTTTCTCTCTGGCAGAAGCACCAGTTCATATAACTTTAGCTATTACAAATCTAATGAATATATCTTTATTTCTTTCTCGGGCCTTCTGATGTCTATTCTTCAATTCTCTCATCTCTGATCTTCAACCTTTGACCTCACCTGCCTGATCAGATGGTGTTTCCTAAAATCAATCATGGGTTTCTCTCTGCTGATCAGCAGCTCATTAAACGCCGCCTCATTAAGGTAGTGCTTCATCTCACTGGAATCTGGTTCTTCTTTACATTCAGTTTACTCTCTGCTGCACCTGTTTGTCGGAAGCCTTCTTATAGCAAGTTGCTTATTTGAAAGTTCTATAATTAAGAAATTGTTAATGAAATTAACGCTTAAATATTATGGGTAACTGCGCTAAATGCTCCACATTTAAGATGCAGTTAGCATTTTTAGTGGCTTGCAGCGCTATACTGGAAATCAAATAAGTTGAACACCATTTCTGGTGTTTTTTCAAAGGCTGTATGTTCTGGCAACTTTCTTGGAAATTGTCTTTTACAAATTAGTAAGTCTAAATCATTAAGGGATTTGGCTAATTATCACTCTGAAAGAGCTCACCAAAACAGATGAAAAATTCTGTGCGACTCTGTGGAAAAGCAGTTACTCTCCATGCTCACGTTTGAAGTCTGTCCACGTAACATTGATGGGCTTGGAATGTTGCCAGGCAAACTGTATACTTCTGGCACACGACTTTTTTTTAATCCTCAGCTTTGTCATGATTAAACCAATCAGGAAACGAAGAGCTGCTTATTGAAAACGGTTACTCTCTCTGGAAAACTGCATGAGTCAAATATTGCAAAGCTACCCCAAATTCTAGTTCGTGTCCTGTGATAGAACAAGCCATTTATAATTTCAGCCTTTTGCTCTGTGGCCGCTTGCACTGTACAGGTACAACCTGCTGGTCTTCAAGGCAAAGTGCAGTCTTTGCATTGAGGAGCAAAGACACCAGTGTTTAGCTCACAGTAGCTTCTTTAAACTTGTCTTGCGTTCTTTCTGGAAAACTGTATTTTTGTGTGGCGGATGCCTCTAAAGCAAACTTCTGATGATTATTTCTTTGTTGTGCTAGGGGGACCAAGGACAAGCTGGACCCCCTGGACCTCCGGGGCCACCAGGACCCAGAGGTCCCCCAGGAGATACTGGGAAAGATGGTCCTCGAGGGATGCCTGGCATTCCGGTGAGTTGGTCTGTTAGTGTCCAAATTTTTGTCAAATATGTAACAGTCAAAGGTGGTTTGTGAGGTAAGATTGGCAAGTAAGACATGTGGAAGCTGAACCACAGACAAATTTCGCAGTGCACCTGAAGTCCCTCTGCCACATGCGGTAAGTTCATAGCGGGGCCAAGAGTAATACCTAGGTTTCTTGCCTCTCACCCCTGGCAGTTCTTTCCCACACATTCTAAGGTTTCTGAGTTGTTCACTGATGTTTTAATAGCTGTACGAAAATGGTCTGCCTCCTCTTCAAGTAGCAAATATTCCCACTCAGACTTTAAGCTAAAGCTGAATGTGAGATGTCATTGCATAGGCTAGCTTTATTTCTCACTTTCTAATGATTTAGCTTCAAATTATGAAATCAGAATAATAAACTGCTAAATGCTGCCCAAAGTATGATAAATTTTGGAGTGAGATTCTGCCATTTCTACACAACACTAATTTTCTTCCACTCATCCCCTGTATTTCATTAGATCCATAAGCAGAATACAGAAAATTACTTAATGTTTTAGATGCAGGATCAGACCCATGGGCTTTGGCATTTTATAATGTGATATTAAACACTTCATAAAAAGATGGGTAAATGTAAGAATTTGTTTTACTTTTTTTTTTTTCTTCAAAATATGAGTATAGTTTTGACTCTATGGTTTGTGACCTCTTCAATACTCCTTTTTTAAATGTTTTTCTTTTTGAAAAACTTATCTCTCTGTTCATCGTGAATCCCACTGCAGTGTCAGTGTGGAAGCTGAATCACAGGCAGTACACTTGACAGCTGAAATGTCAAATGCACAGATCTGGTAAGCACATCTGTCACAAGTAAAGATCACAGCTGAGAGGATGCATAAGGAACTAGCAAGGTGAAGACATCTCTAGAAAAAGAAACAGCTTTGTCAGAGAGAAAGCATAGTTCATTTTGTAGGCCAGGACAGAAAGTCGTAAAATTTCACTGCAAAACCAAGAAAGAAAATACCCGAGTTCTTGTTCTAGCCATATTTGAGACTGCCTCATTTGAAATTGTATTGACTATGCATTAGGTGTATTAAGAGTGTAACATGATAACCATCCCTGGAGATGTTCATGAAACATGGTGATGTAGCACTGAGGGTCATGGGTTAATTGGTGATGTTGGTGGTGGGTCGACAGTTCAGTTAGATGAGGTGATCTTCTCCAAACTTAATGATTCTATGACTCTAATTGAGGCCTGCTGTTAGCCAACATTGGGCTGATAATTTCTAGCACAAGGTTGTGAAGTGACACTGAAAATCTATTGCTTTCACTGTATGCTTTACTTTGGCCATCTGCTCATTTCTTGTTAGTCTTCTAATGTGGTAAATTTGATTCTGTTCGGAGTTGCTTCTGATTTGATATAGAGGGTGAGACTGAAACCACAACCAATTTCTAAAACTGCAAGAGTTTTAATGGCTTTGCAACCATTTTTGTAATTCACATCACATGTAACAGGCTAGAAGAATCAGCTAGTGTTGCTGGTCACAGTCTGACTGCAGATTGCTTGGTTTTTGTTGCTGCTTAGCAAAGGGAACAATAGTGTTTCTCATGACAGAAGTAATGCATTTTATGCAATTAGGTCATTCCATTTTATAATAGTTCTGTAGTGATTTTTGACTTTAGATGGCGAGAGACAGTTTCTTTTTATAGTTTGTTTTTTGTTTCTTTTCGTTCAGCTGTGGTTATCTTAAGCCCCATAGCATTGTGGAGAATCAATTTGTGGTACAGCTTCAGAATCAGATAAAAATCAAACCAGATTGCTGACTATTGTTATCATCCTGCTCCTTCTCAGTGTCCTGCTTCAAGAGGAAAACTTGTCCCAGCTTTCTATCTTTAAAAGGCTTGTGTGGAAGAGAGAAATAACAAAATAATAGTTATACTGCATTACAAATAGGAACACTGCAGCATTACAACTGAAAGATAAAGTCGTTACTATGGCCAGCCTCCACTGTACGGCAGTCATTTTCTTAAGCAAGCTTTCATTTGCTTTTAAGCAAGGTACTTATAATTACCAGAACTTCAAGAAAATGTTTTGACCGCTGCCTTCGTCCATGCCCTATATATTTGCTGTGCATCCTGTGAAACTCACTCAAGATAACAGGGCCCAGGTGAGCATCTCCAGCAGCCATCATTACTTCTGTTCCTCTGCCTAGCAGTTTTGAGGAACAGTCTGTGTGCTAACATCTCCATCTGTGCCCACAGACCTCCGTCTGTGCTATCTTTACCTCACATGCCAGGAGCATGTATCCTGCTCCAGTCACTTAAAGTTTTTAGAGATGAGAAAATGTTTGTTTCTGGGACAGAAAGCCTTTAGATCTGAAGGTAGAAATGTGAGGGAAATGCTGTTAGGCCTATTGGAAGGTCTAACAGGAACCAAGGAAGATCAAGGGTACGAGAGAGGATTTTGCATCCTTCTGCTAAGCCTTTATTTGGGTGTCAGTAGAAAAACCTCTTGGAACCTGTACACACTTGCCTTCCAAAAGAGTTTTCCTGCCACACAGATACCAGCACTTTTAGAGTGTCAAAAAAGAAGCACAAGGGAAAAAACAGGGTTGTTTTTGTTTGTTTGTTTGTTTTTTTGCTGGTAATAAAACAGTAGACAATGTTACACAGTTTTGAAATTATTTCAACATAAAGATAATGCTTCCCAACATTTATAGGCATATCTTGATGCTTCTGTGATGCTGTGAGATTGTTGTATACAAAAATAAGCAAGGCTACAAAGGAAGCTGAGAAGTTCAACAACCTTGAATAATTTGCTGTCTGAAACCTGTGCCTGTGTGGTTTCTCTTTCCCTGTTTTTTTGGTGTGTTTGCAGATGCAGATTTGTGCATCTGAAAGCACATTTACCTAGAGAAGCAGTTTAGAATCTGTTGAGTTGCCAAGAACAGTAGCATCAAAACAGTTCCCATCGGTTCTTGGCAGGTTTTCTTTTATGATAAATCTGATGAAGATGATCCTGCAGCTGTGCTGATCCAACAGCACATGGATAGCCCGTGTGGTATGACATCCATTTTACTGTCTCAAATGACAGTTGAAGACATTCATTTAAAAAAAAGTGAAGATAGCTCCTCGCTTCATGTAGACATGTGCCCCACTAAGAGAATTAATTGGGAAAATGAAGGGATACCATTTTGAAAACCAATCCAAATATTTAACAAACGAACAATTATTGCATAGCCTCAAAATGTCACTGTTCATGGGTATATGCAATATGATAATTAGTAAGTTATGCCTGCTGACTGAGGTGATGACACAGAAGACTAATTCTGGAATATGTAAACAGTGATTCAGCACATATGTGAAAAAAACTTTATCTGTGTTCTTTAGCACCCCTGGCTGAAGTGGAATGTTATGATTGGAACTAAGGGGCTGAGAGTCAGCACACCAGGGTTTAAATTTTGCTTGAAGAACTACATCATTAAAAGATTGTGAAGTAGTACCTTACCTCTTAAAGTCTGTGATTTGATCCATTACTTTAAAAAGCAAATATACATATAAATGTGTGCGTGTATTTAATATGTGGTCAGCTGCCATACCTGTTGAGTAATGGAATTTTTTAAGAGGTTGTTATTAAGCAAGGAACTGAATTCGAGACATGCTAAATTATTCTAAATTATTCATGCTTTTTGTTTTTTTTTTTTAGGGTGAGCCAGGAAAGCCAGGTGAACAAGGGTTGGCAGTAAGTACTCTTTCAGTTTGCTAAGAAACTTTAACAGACTTAAACATGCTTCTTAAACTGTGGAATTCCAGAAAGCTTGATAATTGTATTTCCCAGCCTTCCTTTGTCATTGAGTCTTTGAAGTCTCGTTTGCAAAGAAAATGCAAGAAAAAATAGAATTTTTTAGAAATATACAGTTGCCTATAATATAAGGGCAGTTCTTCCTTTTGGGTTGCAGAAGTATAGAGGGCACAGCGAGGAAAAACTGCCATGTCAGATGTGCCTGACTCATGGCCCCTCTTATTGCCACCTCTAAATTTGAGCTGTTTTCACGTTGAGACTGTGGAGCAGTGCAGCAGCCATCTACTTGTTTAAAAGGCCAAAATCTCAGCAATCGTTCTGGCCCTTTGCCTGACATAACAGTGAAGATGCTGCAAAGAAACTCTCGGAATATTATCTCCTGAGGGTTTTCTTTTCATCATGTGTGGGAGAATATAGGAGCTAAATGAATGCACTTTTTACAAATACTCAGATATGGGAGTACATGTTTTCTGTTGCATCAGAAACTAATTAGCCCTTTTCATTTGGAAGCAAATTGAAGCTCCACTGTCTGTAAATCAGCTTCAGACACAGGATAATGCATCAGGGGTTTCTGCTTGTCACATGTTCCCAAAACTGTGAAACATTTTTTCCCTTAAGATTTCCCTAAATGCTTATGGTCATTATTATTTTCTTTTATGCGAAGTGACATAATTGTAGCTCTTGGCATGTGCTTTTGATTTCTGAGTGCTTCTGAAGGGGAAGATTATATGCTCAGCAATCAGTGAGGATATGATTACTACCTATTTGAATTTATAAAGTTTTAAACAGATGTGATGATACTTCAGCTTGACAATTTGCAGAACATTTTGGATTAACAAAATCCAAGAAAGTTTTTCAGCAGAGAAAGAAAAGATTGAGATTCTGAAGTGTCTCCTTTGATCAGGAAACTGAATTTTTTGTAGCTTCTCTTTTCAAGATAAAAATTTAACAGAGCTAAAATCTCATCTCCCAAAGGTACTACCTAGTGTTTTAGCACATTTGTGTTCCCTGTTGTTCCATTCTTTTTGGTTTATGAGTACTTATTGTTAATAGCATGTATAATAGCTGGGAAGGGCATTTTCTTTTTTGGTTTGCTTATTTTGATTGTAATCTCCTATTTGCTCTCTGGACTGCGCTTACTGCAGCAGTGTCTTCATTCTGTTCAAGACCAGATCATCAGGGTCACAGAATCCCCAAGGGTCTTTAAGCAAAAGAGTCTTGTGGTATTCAGAAGATTCCCACTGCTCTAGTCATCTGCACATAGGAAATAAAGAACTGCTACAGGACTCTTCATGTCCCTAAGTGCAGATGTGTTTAAATAGAAAAAAAGGGCATTTTAAAAATCATATCAGCAACTGTAAGCTAGAGAAAAAAAAAACCCAGACTGCATAAGTTTCCAGCTCCAAATGCCTGGTCTAAAAGCCAACATGATGGCTTGAGTGTTAACCTATATGTAGATCAAGAAAAGTTCAGGTTATCAGAGAGACATTTTATTTTCATTTTTCTTGGTTATTTTGACATATGCATTGCGCCAGTACAGATTTCCAGGCTGTCTTCCTTGTGAAAAGTGCTGAAGCTATCCATACAGATTCTGTCTGGTTTCCTTTGACATCTTCCATCATACATTTCTGCATGAATATCTCTTTACCTCAATGTTGAAATTTGAGGAACTACTGCAGAAGTAGCTGATTTCCAAACAGTTATGCTGTAGAATTGTGATGCCAAAGAAAAACAGGGAACACAAACCTATCTGCAATTCTTTTCCTGTGTTATTCATCCATCTCTTCAAATAAAATTACAGCAGAAATCTCAACTGTGAATTGTGAACTTCTACATTAATTCCGCAGGAACTCGTATGTAAAGAGTTGTCTCTGTTTCACACTGTTATTCAAGTCCAAGTTAAATTCCATTTTTTCTGTGTGTGAAGAAGGATCTGGTAGGTAGATGGGTTCTGAAAAGTACTACGAGTGCTTATCTCCCAGAAATCCACCTTTTAGGGATTATTGATGTTTCCAGAGCTTTTCCAGTAAGAAGCCAAGTACTGGAACATGCACTCTGGTTGTTCTTCTGGATAGAGGCAAGATACAGGCAAGGACAACACCGATGGCCCTGAAACAATCCCTAAATTTCCAATGTACTGTTTGAGGTTGGTGGAAACTGAAGGCTATTTGTATTCTAAAGAATCACTGTCTCAGCAGTTTTAAATAGCACTGGTACTATTCAAGCAAAGAACTGCAGGCCTGACCTCTAGATTGTAACAGTGGGATAGAAGCTTTTCTCTGTCAAAAGTGATTTATGCTCACATTCAGTAACATCCCTTAGTATTTCTAGGAGAATGCAGAGAATGTTACTAGAGCTGGTAAATTCAGTTTTAACCTTGGAAAAGGGTTAAAATGGAAAAACTTGACACAGCTTGAAATTGCTTAGCTTTCTGTCTTCTCTTTTTACAAGGAATGGAATAAGACCCTTGAAGAGCAAAAGATGGTAGATAATGAGATAGCAGCATGTTTTCCAGATTGCATCTCAGAATGTAACACAAACCTATTACACATCTTGAGTAGCTTGTTACCTACTCAAGCAACATGTGACTTGATTCTCAAAAAGTTGAAATCATTTTAATGCATTTGGAGTTCCAGGAACATCCATGTTCTTGTTGCTCAGTCAAATAGGAAATCAGGAGCACTAGTGAGGGCACAACAACTTGCACCAAGACTCTGCTGCCATATTCTCCTCAAATTTTATTGAAGTTCTGTGTCAATAACGAAAAAAAGTAATAATAACCATGTTTTAGATGTGGGAGAGAAAGCGGTAGTAACAATTCAGGACTTTTTCCCCCTCTTAGGCAGGGGAGGTTTGCTTGGACCAGACAGAGAAAATGACAATGAGTTCTCTTGTTTGAGTTCAGCTTTGCCGTAAGAGAACTCATCTTTATAGCACAGGGCAATTTGTGCAATTTACTCTGAAGAAAGGGAATGGCTTTTCTTTATTTCAGAAGTTAAGTGGGTGTAACACAACGGAAAGCACAGCAGTGACAGCAGAGCAGCAAAGTCCTAGGCTGCAGTAAGTGAAGATCTGCTCAAATGCAACAGCTACGGGCACAGAAATAAAGAAAAGCAGCTGCCTACTTTCAGAAGCCTCAGGTGCAAAGGGATCTCCAGACAGACACTCTCACCTCCACTGCCAGCACTTTAATGAGGTCTGGGAAGGGGTGGATCCTGGCCCCACACTTTCTGGTCCCTCAGGTACATTGTATACATCTGAGCGCCCCTGGGTTGACCCTGCCTTCCCCCAAGGTGCTCGAGCAATCACTGGTTCAGGTTGTGACTTAGCATTTCTGCTACAGTGGCTTACTTCAGGGTGATAGGAAGAGAGGGTTGGGAAAACCCACTGTTGCTTATGCAAGTGTCTTATTCCCTTGCTGAAAATATTCCCATGTTATCAGCATCCAGTCACCTTCTGTTGTTCTCATGGTTGAGATGTGGGGTCTTGCTGTTTGCAAGGTCTTCTGTCACTTTGTTTTTATGCTAGGAACAATCTGTTTTCTTTTAGGGCTGAATAGTGAGCAAAGTTAGTTTTAAGTATAGAAGAATTGAGTGTATATATCTTTAATGTCAGAAGAGAGTGTAAGAGTGCCTAGTTAGTTACTTTTTTTTTTTTTTCTAGTTTCCAGGACTCTAGAAAGCCCTTGAGGTCTACTTTCTGTCAGAGTAGAAGGTATTGCTCCTCTGTGCAGAATGGAGTCACATGAAGGCCAAGCAGTGAGGTGTGGTGCTAAGGGTTTGAAGTTTTGAAATGTTATGTGGATCTAAAAAAAGTCTTCTATGCCAGAGGGAAGACTGGTAGAGTTTCCTTAGCTTTTCATCCTTTTTGGTTGTGTCTTGCCTCCTATAACACATTTCCCTTCCCATGTCATTTGCCATTTGCCATGTCTTCCTGGTACCACATGAGGCTTTTTTTCTTTATCTTCTTATTTTCAGAAAGGATCATAAAAGTGTTTGTGATTCTTCTGTAGGTAGAAGCTAGGATTTCTGGTTTCAGAGTGCTGGTGATTTTATTATAAGTGTAGTCAATGACAGGAAACCTGAAACGCTGACACTGATAGGTGTTTTCAGATTCACATATTGCAATAGAACAGAAGGTGTGCATGGCTATTTTTATTTCTAATTTCCATATGGTAACTTTTTGATGTTGCTTTTTGTTTTTGTTTCCAAAACGCTTTTGGTGCTTTTAATTTAGAACTGTTCTAAACCAGTGCATAGCCATAGGATTCTGGAGGATCAAAATTTGCCATCTTTTCAGCTCCTTGGAAAATTAGTCAGTTGAATTGTGTTCAGTATACGAGTCAACTGCTTTTTGTCTCTGAATAAAATATATATTTTTTTTTCTCCAGAAACTGGCTTTAAAGATACATAAGTAATTTTACAGATGTTTTGCATGAACAGAATGTCTAGAACAAGCAAAGAATTCAGGTAAAGATATCTCTTTGCTAAAGAAATCTATCCTTTAATGATTAACTCAAATGCAAAATCCCTCTACTTAAGATGTATTGTTTTCCAGACTAGCAACTTTGTGCTTTTACAGACTTTGCTGGGCATGTGTTCAAGAAAAAAAAAAAAAAGAAAAGACTTAGTGGTCTTACTAGCTATTCAGTATAGGGAGAACTTTCTTCCAAAGAATATTGTCATATACTTGAAAGTTGGTGAAAGAGCATAACTTTGCAGTCAAATCTATAAAACCTCACATCTTTAAAATGAGTTAATATATATTTTTCATCTGAGGTTTAAAAAAACAAAAAAGGAAGGGGTAGGGGGGGAATCAGCCAGAACTGTCTGGAAAGTGCTGCTGGCTTGAGTTTAGCCTTTCAGGCCAACAACCAAGGACAGATCCTCAGCTGGTGTGAATCTTCATAGTTCCTCTGGGAAATTGCTAATTGTGAATTTGTTTTCCATGGCCAGAGTTCTGCAGCAGCCTTGTTTATTTCATTCTGGTGACATGTTCACAGTAAATTTTAGAAAGTGTGGTTCTCAAGCTGTCTAGATGTGAAAGTTTACCAAAAACTAGCAGCTGAAATTGAGAATCTCTGCCTGCACCTTCTACGGCACGTACTTATTTTTTTCCCCGATGCAGATTCATTGGCCTTAAGTTATAAGAGCTAGTCTTAGGAAAAATTGTCTTTGGGATTTTATAATCTCTACTTCAGTGACAGTTGTCTGGGATGTCAGAACAATGACTAAGAAGACGACGACAATGAGGATTTCTGCCTGAGCACTAATTAATAGCTTTTGCCGCACTTTTAATCAATTAAGGTAGCATATGGGACCACTGCTTAATGAGAATTTATATGAATTTCCATTATAGTTTATCTGTTTTCTTAGCCAGTCTTTTTTAAATTCAGGCAATTCACGAATGCTAAAGCACTATATACTTTGATAGTAGTATTCCAGTCATCACAATCTTTATGAAACACTCCTCAACCATGCGAGAACACACTTTCAGAATTACATTATATACCTTGTTCCACACAGCAAATGTGGTCAACGGGCAATACGGAGGCTCCTCGGAAAGGCAGATGGATGCTGTGTACGAAACCTGTGGTTTTCCTCTGCATGTACATTTGTTATTTTAAGTTCCCTTCCTAAATTCTTCTTTGTTCTCAGCTTTGTGGAAATAAGGAAGCGTTTCATGATTCCTATAGTACCAAAGAGGAAATATGCGTTCTCAGGTATAGTTTTGGTAACTCCTTTGTCCTATAAAAATGTAGGTACAGATCTTATAAAGGCCTTCTATTACAAGGAGTTTTTACTTTAGAAAGGTAGTATGAAAGCTTAAAAAAAAAAAAAAAAAAAAAAGGTTTGGGTTTTTTTTTTTTTTGTTTTTGTTTTTGTTTTTTTGTTTTGTTTTGTTTTTTTACCAAGCATTGGAATAAGAGTTTCAGTATGAATGTATTGCTCTATTGTGATGTATTTTGGTTTATAATTTTTCAGTACACCAAAACTTTCATTTTCTCATTATATTTTTGTTAGGCATTTTCATTTGGTGTTCATGCTTGCTGTCCTTGACATCTAACACCTCACAGAACAAATCATTACATCTAGCACAGACCTGCAAATGGAAAATGCTCCAAGCTTTCTATTTCATATATTTATTTAAATGTTTAACAACTGAGCCACTTGAAGTTGAGAATTAAAACACATAGGGAGGCTGTTTGTGAGGTATCACACCCTGAATTACTGTGTCTTTGAACCGCAGCTTTAACACTTGCAGGGCAGAATATTTCTTATTTTGCAGTTTGCTAAAGCACAAGCAGCAAAGTAACTTTAAAAGGAAAACATAACATATAAATGGATGTCTAGAAAGAGTTCTGGACTCAGTGAATTTGCTTTGACTACATTTGTGGCAACTTTTTCCGTTGTTTTTCCTTTTTTTTTTTTCTTTTTAATTTTGAGTAGTTGTTAGTGAAGGCACCTGAGCGTATCCAGCTGTAACTTTTTTTGATCATTTCTGTAATGCTGATATTTGATATGAAAGAAGCTCTGTAGATCCCTTGAGAATAGTGGCTGAAGAATGGCATTCATTGTGAAAATTCATTTCTTTCGTAGAACACTTAAAAACTTCTTTTTATCCTTGGATGCCCAATTTTTCCAAGTACTTAGGTACATATCAGACAATGCTCCATCCCCAGAGACACAAGAATAGTTATTGAATTTCTTGGGAGCGATGCAATTTCTTTTTCTACTCTCCAACTGAGGAATTAACTTGAGAATCTACTTCAGTAAACCCATGCTATTGCTTGTCATATCTGTATAGGTAGTTTATCAGTTACACAAGGTAGAAAATGGTTTTAGGAAGTGTTCAGGATATCTGAAATAATAGAGATTTAAAATGGTTTTTATTATTTTTAGTTATTTTCCTGTTCTGGGCAACTCTCTTGACCAAAATTTACAGCCAGCTCAACTGAAGTTTCTCAGTGCATGTATGAAAAAAGGGTAATTTTCAAAGATTCTAATTAATGACTTCAAACAAATTGATGACATGATTTTTCATATATATAGTGCTCTCCTCGGATCAATTGCTAATTGCTAAATGCTAAGGAAATAGAACCCTACATGATCATATTGCATTTCCCATTTTCTACTTGGATTCTCTAGCAGTTATCAATTCTATATAATTATTTTATATTCTGAGTACATACAGAATAAGAAACTCCTGTGTGTAAATTGTAAAATGTGTCATTTTAAGCTTTTAATTGCAATTAGCTTGCTGAAGGTAGTTGTATTTTTGAGGACTGTGCTGGTCATCAGGTGGTGTAATAGCTCAGAGGTCATGAGACATGAGAGTAACTTCCAGTCTGAGTAAAGTTTAAGTACCAGAAATGGAAAACTACTCATTGTTTAAAATAACTGATGATTAGTGCCTAATGCTCTTCCCTGAATCATCCATTCTAAAAATGCAATGAAGGCAAGATTTTTCTTCTATGAAAATACTTTCTTATTCAGTAAGTCCTCTGGAAGAGCTGGAATGGTAGCAGCAGTGAAGGGAAAATTCTAGGGAAGGAGATTTTTCTGGAGACATTTGCAATATCTTGAATCAAATCCATCCCACAAGTTGACAGCTGCAGACTCTAAGTGCAGAAGTACGCAGATGAGCAACACATTTCACAGTTTACTTTGGGGGATATTCCTAATAACTGAGTAGCAATTTTACCTTCAGATAGTAGCTTTGTTTTGAAGGCTTCCAAATGGTATTTTGGTTTAGTTGAATGTGTCCAAAAGATTATGTTTAGCTTCTTATGTATTTGGAAACTGAAGAGTAAGCATTTATTCCATGCACATAAAAGAAACAGATATGAAATATGAAGTAGTCTTCAGTTGTTCTGGCTTATTGATGGAAGGTAACGTAGTAGAACTGTTTAATAAAAGTCAAAAGAAAAATGATGCCCAGGGCCTGGATATTTGGAGCTTACTTTGGTAACGGTGATATAGGTAAACTGTAGTCTGAACATGAATTTCTTGGAGTTTTTAAGATGATAGCCAAACCTGTATTTTTCTTGGCAAAAGGGAAGATTCCTGGCTCATCACTTGCCATGCTGTGAGGCACTGGAAGAAACTTTCTTCATTTTCTAGAAGAAAGGGAAAAATTCTGTTTAAATGGAATATGTTATGTTCATGGTTCGGTTCCTTCCCCAGTAGGCCACTCTCACCTAGCAACATCCTATTGACTTTCTTCATTTATTTTTCTTCTTCCCTGTCTTCAGTGTTCTTGGAGACTGCTTACAAGTGGTGCTCAGGTAATAGGCTGTTCATTTGCCATAATCACTATTACAGGTGCCCTCATCCTCAGGTATATCTTAGAGTTAGAATTCAGGCACATACTGAAAAAAGAGATTTAAATAGCAGTTTACTGAAATGCAGTGGGCTGGTGGGATTTTTCTCCAGTCAGAAAAAGCAGGTAATCACTCTATTCACTAATTATCACTCTAATTATCATCAGATCTGAGTGTTTGGTTATTTTCACATCCTTTTAAAGAAAAGAAAGTTAGTCAGTCATTCTGTATATCGCAGATGGTTTTCTATTTGCAAAATCTGTCCCTTTGAAAAAGGGAGATGCTTGCAAGATCCTCGTTTTTCTAAGACAATGAATCCAGTACCAGCAGTTACAAGCAGTGGAGCTTTTCTTTGTTACCAGTTTAATGTTGCATCAGGGCAACATTCCAACACGACCTGGATCTACCAAAAAAAAAGGGAGTTTTAACCTATATTCACCCTATCTTAAATACAAAATTTGCCATTTTGAAGCAGAAATCCTGTTGTTCAAGGTGAAATCCTGAATAATTCCTGTTCTGACATCAGTTCATCTTCTATCTTTTCAAACATCAAAACAAGCTGAATTCTCCCATTCTGGCTTTTTGTTTTTCAACTTGATACAGTCAGAATTAATCTCTCTTAAGTTTGCTTCAGCACACACAAACTGCATGAGCACCTCCTGTAGGAACACGTGGAAAAGAGTAGATGACCATACTGAATGTGGTCTGATTTAATCAAAACAGACTGACATGATGTCATATACATGTTTTGCTGTTCTGTTTCCCTGATGCCTCCCCTTTTTGGCCACAAATGAATTGGGTGCTTCAGAGATGCCAGTTGAGAAATGGGTCCAACTAATATCAACGAGACTCACTCTTGTAAGACATTAAGCAGTTAACCTTTCCTGGATTTAGGTATTCCTGCATTCTCAGATCATAAGGTTATAATGGTTCTTCTTTACTTTCAAGAGAATTCTTAAAGATTTTTGAAAGTTTTGTTTTTTGTTTTTTGTTTTTTTACTTGTGGCTGATGGCACAGATCACGTGTTGGTTAAACTATAGAAATAAATTTCAATACCTTTAATGATCTAGAAACTATAGAGAGGCTAATGCTTCTCTATTTAAAAACAGAGTAAAAACTTAGTGGCATAAGCCAAGTTTTTGTGGAAAACTTACTGCCGAGCAGAAAAATTATTGTGGACCACAACTGATTGTTAGATCAGAAGAAGAAGAAAAACTACAGTCTTTTTAATGCTGACAGATTTGTCAGTATTTGAAGAAATAGATGGAATGGAAGAGAAGATGTTAGGAAGGGGGAAGTTTAAATCTTCTACTTAGAAGTAAAATCTGTTCCAAAAGAGAAAAGATGTATTTGCATTTTCTGTAGAACATTTTACTTTTTGTCGATGCAGAAAATTTCTACTGGTTTCATTCCAGTATCTGAATACTTACACAATGGGACAGTTTTAATTGGGCACTGAAGTTTAAATTAGCTAGAGTAATTACATTTTCTTTCTCTTTACAGGGACCTCAAGGGCCTCCAGGACAAAAGGTATAGTATAAGTAACAATACCATGATAGCTTCTGGTTCCAAACTGTAAGTAGAAAAGGTGAATGGAATTAGCTATTGCACACCACCTTGAATCTGTTAATTTAGATGCTATTTTGTGGTATTTTGTTTTTGTAAAATGTAGTCATATAATGTTAGACATAAGATTTCTCATTTTCGCTATCATAGGAAGTTCAAGCAATGCAGGGCAGAATGTTTTTAATCTGTCCGCTTAACTTTCAGGTGAAAAGGTTGCTATAATTTTCTTATTCATGGATTGGCACAGCTATGAAACCAAAGGTGAAACATAGTGAAAGATGGAGGGATAGAATTTCTGATTGAATGCATGTCCTTTCTCAAGTAGATCAATGCCATATGACTGAAAAATTGACCAACAGAAACAAAGGGTATAGGTGTTGCTGATAAATGGTTCTTAGTTGGCTGTATTCAGGTGGTTTGCTGTTGTCTTCCTGTTCCTTTGGTAATCGGAGATCTGACTTCCTATGGAAGCTTTCAGCATTATTTGCACTCATTAAAGCTGACTGCCTCAGTCTGATGGAGTGAGCTTTGGATTTATGGTACTGCACCATTAAAACAGTCCTAGGTATATCAGCAGTAGCAGCTAGTAAGTGGCACCATTCCAGCATCTCACCCACACACCACCAAGGCAGGTCATTTTGAGACTGATTTCAAAAGATAAGAAGTGTTATGGAAGATATCTAATTAGAGCAGGCTTAATTTGTATAAAGGAAAAAGAAGGGAAAGAAATAAGTAGTACTTATGTATGTGGCAAAGCTGTCACCTCTTTTTCTTCTTTTAAAATATTATTTAAAGTGAAGGTTTGGTTGCATCTGTTAAAATTGAACTTCTTGAAGAAACAAAAGCCTCCTGATATGTAAAAATGTAATCCCAGAGCATGTAAATCCATGGGATTTTGTCAGCTGTGAGCTGTACAGTTTACAAGCTGAGGGAGAAGGTTACCCTTCATGTTTAGCAATGCAAGAATGTAACATTGTAAAGCTCATCTGATTCTGAAATTGACATTACAGGAAATAGCAGAGTGGGATACTTTATATGTACAACATTAAAAAACAAACAAACAAAAAAAAACAAATGTTCTGGTGAGCTTTTCAATTTATGATAAACATTTATTGGTTAAGGGTATGGTAGAATCAATTTTATTTAAACTTTCTGATATCTCATGTTTCATAAGAAAAGTCAGCAGCTGTATGAGACTGCCCCTGGGAAGATTAACTGTTTCAAGGAGGTCAGACAGATGTCATAATGCCCTCCTGAGCCTTTTCTTACAAGTTTCTGGAAGAATTAAACAAAAAATGTTTACAGAATGAACAGAAAAGTTCACTAGAATTTGTATTAGCCATTTGCAGTGGCTAGCATTCATGACCATGTATCCAGCATATAGGGGCACCAGAATGCCAAAGTGAAAGCTTTGGGAATAAGGACAAAGCATTCAGGGTAATGGTCATGAGCTGAGATGTCAGTGTATTATTTATTACTGGCTTAGAGCTCTGCTGTGAGCTTGAGACTGCTGGGCACTCAAGTGTTGGATATTTTTTGAAGCACTCGTAAGCTTTTTTTTTTCCCCCTTTTTTTTTGTTTCACAGGATTTTTCCATCCATTATTTCCTCAACTCTATTAATTGATAAACATGCATCCATTATGGGTGTATTTCCTTTGGGAGTATTTGTCTGCTTCTAGTGAAGTCCCCAGCCAATTTAAGCAGAGGGAAAAATGCTGTGCACTGATTTTTGGGCCTCAGGACCCGATGGGCTTCAAAGGATACTCATTTCTTTCACAGGCGCTGAGCAACTGCACGTCTCTCCATTGATACAGCCTCTGCCTTTCCCAGTCTCCCGGCCAATCTTTTATGTTACCAGCCGTTCAAATAGCTGTATCTGTAACCTGTTCAGATATTTATTAATGGAAAATAAAAATACACTATCAGATTCCTTGCTGTGCAACATTGCTGTTACAGAAAAAGAGGATGGTGTTGTGCGAGCTCCTTTTCTCGTGCCCGAGATTTTTGCTGGATGTCTGCAGCAACAGTCAGATAAGATTCTTCAAACAAAATTGCCCATCATAAAAAATAGAGTGAGAGTTTGTAAAATGACTTCTCTTACATTATGAGTTGCTGCTTCTTTGTCTACTCCATGTTTTTGGTCCGTGTTTTGTTGTTTTTTGAAATTCTGACGGCACTAATACTGAAGCAGTTTAAAAGGTTGTTGGTAATTTGCACCGTCAGGCTGAACTATTGCAGATTATCCCTTAAAAGCTTTAAGATAGATTGACCCTGCCAGTTATTGGTCTTGGAGCACATCTCTCCATTTCAGATGTTTGAAAGCATTTGAAGTGTTAATGATTTTGTTCAGGCGCTATGTTAGGCAGTGTCAGAACAAACTCAAAATTTATCCAGAGCATTAAATGGAATTGCATTTTAATCCTTATATGTTTTACAAGGCATTCACAACAAAATTATCACCAACTTGAGACTCCTTTCTGAAAGAGGCTATACAGTGGGACAGTCACTAAAACGTACATTGTAAGAGCATAAGAACGTACGACACAAAAACATGTATGATTAATGTAAACAGTCACTTGTAAAGAGAGCTCAACTTGAATATAAATTAGTTTTTGAAAAATTTATTGCACTTAGAATATGCTGGCATTCACCATCTTTTTTAGGTGCTGTATTAAGAGGTGAAAGTTTTCAGCCTGTTTAATTTGCTAAACGCTGGCATCTCTTTCCCACCAGGGTTCTGTTGGAGTGCCTGGTGTTCCTGGGAAAGATGGACAAATGGTGAGTTCACTTGACTTTGTCAACATAGCACCTATTTGTGTCACTGATTAAAGCAACTCAAGGCTCATTCACATGGGCAATTTACAGAAGAACATCCAAGGTTCTAATTTCAAATCAGTCTCATGGAAAAGACTATAAAATCTGATTTGTGCTCTGAAGTTATTTTTTCTAGTTTTAGTCAGTGAACATGGTTACTCCAAAAATCTCATGCTCAGATTTGGTGGTGACTGATAGACATCCGTGTAAGCGGTGTATGACTTGATTCAGTATATTTATGAACTACATTTTTTTCTACAGCTTATTTTGGTTTAATTTCTGTTAACTCAGTTCCATGATGCAAGTGGTTACGTTTATGTGCTTGTACACCAAGTACCAGTGACAACACATTGTTAATACAAGCCTAAAATAGAGAATGATTAGGCTGGAAAAGCAGGTAGAGAATAATATAAATTAAACTTGGGAATGAAAATGCAGAGAAATTATTAGAAAAGAAATAGTCTTGAGTGCAACTGGGAGGAGATGGTAACTCAGTCAAGTCAGTGTTATGTTTCACTAAGCTGACTCCTAGTCTGGGGCAGTGCTCCATGAGAAGCAGCAGGGCTGTTTCAAAGCCCTGCTAAGGTTTTTTGGCAAAACTGTGTGGTGAAGTTTTTAAGTAATATCCCTCCCTGGCTGCAAACAGTATTAACCATCTGTTGTTCTCATAAGCACTAACATTAATAGTGAACTTGAAAAGCACTTGCAGGGAATACCAAAAGGAAAATGATACTGTAGCTTGTTCACTGTATTTGAGAAGTAAGCAATGATAGTGTATAAAGAACATATTACATATAGGGTGCTCAGAAAGTAATGCCTCCATGGAAACTATAACAAATAAGAAGTGCACAAAAACACTATTTGATAGAGCAAATTCTCAGCTACAAAACACTATTTTTCAGCATAGTCTACACTGTTAGCTGTGCATTCTTGCCAACAATGAACAAGAGCCTGCATGCTGCGCTCATACAAATCTGCACCAGTGGAGATGACCCCACTATTTCACAGTGGCAATGACAGAGTCATTGCAAGGAAAATGTTGCCCTGGCTGTCCATCATTCATTGGCCCAAGCAGATGGAAGTCATAAGATGCCCAAACTGGACTGTACAGTGGGTGTGGCAGGACAGTTCAGCCAAGACAAGCAATGTGCTCCACAGTCTTCACACTGGAATAGGGTCTGGTGTTATTGTTCTGCAAGAGAAAGGTTGTCTTCTTAATTGGTCTGACTGTGGAAGTGCAAGCTTCCACTCCTTTCCTCTCCCAAAACACAATCCACATCCCTTTACCTGCTGAGGGCTGCATCTTCAACTTTTACTACATTGGGAATTCACATCTCACCACTCCATGGAGCCATTTTGACTCTGGCTTACAGTCATGACACCATGTCCCGTCACTGGTAATAATGCAGTCCAGGAAACTGTCACCTTCAGCCTCATATTGGTTCAATAGATCTTGACAAGTTTGCCTACAGTGTTGTTTCTGTTCCCATGTGAACATTTATGGGATCCACCTGGCACAAATTTTGTGATATTCCAAAACTGCTACCATTGCTTTCAATGCGCTGAAGCCAATATTCAGTTCCCTGGTCATAATCCACTTTATTCAAGTTGATAGGCTGATCAAGATACTCTTCATTTGTGAAGTAACAGCTGTGCATGGCCATTGGGAATACGGCTTGTCTTGCATATCACTGCCACTGCTGCTGAAATGCACCACCCACTCAGCATTTCACTGTGCTCACATCTATTGTCAGGTCTCCATAAGTGCTCAGCAAGCATCAATGAATGCCATTTTTTCTGCGTGGAGGAATTCAGTGACACATTTTTGCTTCATATGTATTTTCATGTCAGACACTGTTCTGTCAGACTGCCCCTCTGTTGCCATCTGTCACATGGCAACAACATGGAATCAAATGTTAGTGGGAAGGTTCAACCTCTCCTGCCATCCATTAACATCCACCTGTGATGTCATGGGGCAACAAAATAAAATAGGAGGCATTACTTTTGGAGCAGCCTTCATTCTGCCTTCTTCTGCCTCCCTCCCCAAGAGCCCTTGAGAAAAAGGCACTAAGTTTTTCTAAATAATTCCATTTAAATTGTGCTTTCCTAACAGTAAGCTTCTATTATTGTAATATACAACCTGCATTTTAACAGTGGCTAGAGGAAATGATATGAGTAATTTCACTATAGTGGTGGTAATCATGCCATGAATCTATTATTTTTCAATGTTTATGTTCAGAACATTATGACTACTGTGAACAATGACATTAAAAATAAGTTGGGAGCTAGGTATATATAACACACAGTACGTTAAAAAAATTATGTTACAAAGTAAATTTGTGTTAAGTCCTGAGATTTTTCCTTGTTTCCTTTGTGACTTCTTTTAATTCTAGCACGAATGATTGAAAGTAGGTGCAAGCACAGATGGTACTAGTGTATAGAGTTCAAGTAATTAATGTGATTAAAATGTGAATGCAGGACCACATTTTATAGCATGATTTTCTTTGTATGTGCAGAACAATGAGAGAAGAGTGGACTACATAGTTGCAAACACATTGAATAGGAGTGATGATTCATGTTTTATCAAAGTGTTTAACGTATCTTCACATGATGTCTATTCAGAAATCTTTGCTTGTATGTGCACAGAAATGGATGTCAGTGAAATAACTCAGATGTGCCAGATATGAAAAGCTTGTCTAGTTACTAGCGTATTAACGTATAGTTTTGGAAGACTTAGATTTGGGGTTTGTTTTGAGATGGTTAGGTGATTGTACATTTGTTTTATGGAGACCGCGTAGACTGGATTGCAGTCATGCTTAATGGGGAAGGAAACAGATCTGAAATTGTCTTCCTAAAGTGAAAGTTAAACACTTATTTAACTGCTGTTTATCAACTTCGAATTGCATTTAAAAACAGAAACAAAAAAAAAAAAAACAACCAAATAATCCCAACATTTGGATGTTTTTATGTTTATTTTGTTCTATTTATGGCATCTAAAACAGTCATTACTTAAAGTAATAAAAAGTGTATACATAAATAATGTAATTATTTAGAGTGGATGGACTACTTCTAAATTTTAAGAAAAAACTTAATGAATTACTAAACTAAGTCTAGATATAAGCACAAAAACTGGGCAGATACGTGTAAAATGTAGTCAGATTTGGGTGTTTTACAGTTGGTAGCTAAGGTTGACTTGTAAGCATTACATTATGTGCAGAAAATGTGTTATATAAGCAGATAGAAAGTTGGAGAAGTAGAGTATAAGCAGATGAAAGTTGAATGTTGAAGTTTCTCTTAAAAAATAAGTTCTGTTAGCTTTAAAATAATGGTAGAAATAAATCTAAGCTGAAGCAATATTTATCTGAATTTAGTATTAGTAAATTGAGTGCAGTCTAGGATTCCCAGGCTAATATTTTGCTACCAAAAGGTCCATTGTTCCATATTGGACAATAAAAACAGATTCTTAGTGCAGTGTTTCTCACAAGGTACAGTTGAATGACAACCAGAGTGATAATTTCAGTGTCAGACATCTGTGTACAGCCTTTTTAGGAGTCTACATACATTAAGTTTGGCCAGTACTGTGTGCTGACTGCTGGCACTCCTGGCTTTACTCAGAGAGATTAATGCTGATTGCAGACCAACTTCAGTGTGTGATGCATCTCCTTTTAAGAAGATACAGAGTTAGAAAGCTTTAAAAAAGTTGTACTGTCTTGGTAGCCTTTTAATCAGTGAACTTGTTCTGCTCAACAGCAGCGTGTGTGGTACATGAAGATCCACATTACTATTTTTCCTTAGTTTAAAAGGTAGAATTCTAAGCACGTGCTTAAAATTGTATGTGAATGCATTCCTCATCTGAGCACTGAATATCTTTCAACTGATGAATGTCGACAGTGAATTAACTTTTCCTTGTCCATAAGCACTTGAATAATACACTTAGGTCATCACCATCATATATGTGCCTGCAATTTTTCTTTTCCTTTCCCTTCACCTCTTCTTTAATTGAAATAGTGGAAAATAGGAGACGATTGACAAGTCTGACTGGTTGGTCTGGAAACTAGATCATAAATTCTGAGTATACTTAGAACGATTTTCTAATCCCTTGACGTATGAACCACTTTTCTTGGACAATCTCTAAATATTAGAGTAAGTGTAATTTTACACAACCCACCTGTTTGTGCAGGACTGTTAACTGATAGATTTCATAGTAGCAAACTTATCGTCATCGTTTCACATATATTTTTTTCTTTCAGGCCAAATCCTATGGAATATTACCAGTCATCTTGAAAGGATGTTTACATTCCCTGTTTGTTTCTGCATTTAGGAAACTGTAGCCACATTCCGCTTATCTTGTTGAGAAGAACAACAAGATAACAACTGGGAAGTAGCCACCTAGTAATTCTTGCAGTCTGAGAGAGTGTTACAGAATCATAGAACCACTCAGGTTAGAAATGACCTTAAAAGTCATTGAGTCCAACCACAACCTAACCATACTACCCTAACAGCCCTCCACTAAATCATGCCCCTACATCCAAATGGTTTTTAAACACATCCAGGGATGGTGACGCAACCACCTCCCTGGGAAGCCTATTCCAGTTCTTAACAACCCTTTCTGTAAAGAAGTGTTTCCTGATGTCCAACCTAAATTTACCCTGGTGCAACTGGGTTGTCACTCGGTAAACAGAAACCTGTGCACTGTTTTTTTTTTTTCTTCTGTAGGAATTATTTTTATTATTTTGTAAGGATGTATCAAGAACAGAATGGTAGTCAGTACAGATCATTTCAGTTCAGGTTGTTCCAATAGTTTGACAATAGCAGTTTGATAAACTTCAAAGAAATCTCCCTGCCTTGTTAGTAGCCATAGAGTCTTGGTGTGCATGTTGCTTACTGCTTTTCTCATGCTCATTGTTACTCTAATTCATATGTATTTCCCCATTGATATTCCCCCTACTGTACTATGTCGAACA